GTAATGCGTGCCTACTGGATTGGTCGGTGTTTCATGAGTGTGATCGGATCCAGGACAACTTGGGTGAGGCGTTGGCTGTCGATGTCACTAATGAGGAAATAAGTGATGCTGTGAGTGGCCTGGGCAATAACCGTGCGCCTGGTCGGGACGGTATTATGGCGTCCTTTCTCAAATTCTATTGGGAACTCATCAACAAGGAGGTCTTTGAGGCGGTGCGGGATTTTTTTGTTACGGAAAGCATGAACAACAATTGGAAGGAGACATTGATCATTTTGCTGCCCAAGATGGACAATGCCAACTCGCCGTCGAAGTTTCGGCCGATAAGCCTGTGTTAGACTCTCTACAAGGTCACGGCACGGATCCTTGTTTGTCGGATGAAATCGGTCCTGGGGGTAAGAGGAAGAAGGAACCTCTTACATCTCCGGGCGGGGACGTCTTCCCCTTCGGTTCGGGATGACTCTCTCCCCCCTGTTGACGGAGCGCTTGGCTGGCCTCCGAGGTGGGATTGGTGTTCAGGGCACTAGGATTTTTGCCATCCTTCGGGCTATTTACTCTCTTTTCGGACGTCCCCAACCTCTGACTCGGATCCTCCCTCTGGGGTCTAGCTCTGGCTCTCCGTGGTTGGTCTTCTTTTGTTATTTTGTAGCTTTTGCCTGGCCCTCCCCCTTTCCTTATTTTTGGGGAGCTTGCCTTATTTCCTTTGTAATGTTTTTTGTTTCTTAAATGCAATTTATATTTCAAGGAACCTTAAAACTTTTGATGGATTCCGAAGGAGTTTGACGGATTCCAAAGACTGCCCCTGGGGATGCGATGGTGAAGAATCGCTTGAGCATATCTCAGTTCACTGTGGGATGTTGAAACTCACCTTTACCGTCCTTGCCAAATGGGGATTCACTATGCCTGGTTTTCACTCTTGGGAGGACTTAATTCACGGTCTCCACCATGCGGCCTCGAACAATTCCAGCTTTGGACGACTTTACTACTACATTATTTATCAAGTCTGGCGAG